CACACACACAATCACACCCACACACTTCCTGCAGTAATGAACCTTCTAACTTGGACACACAAGGCTTGAGCAGGCCGAAGCTCATTACTGCAGGAAGTGTGTGGGTGTGATTGTGTGTGTGTGTTTCGCCGGAAATCAATAGCTCCTGTGCTCTTGGACTTGAGTTTTGAACTTGGGGAATGCAGGCGGAGGCTAACTTTAGCGCAAGAAGGACATTGAGCACTATTGTATGCCAGTCGGAGAGCAGGCGTCAGCTGCGCAATCCGTCTGGTGTTCGATATCCATCCGAATATGCGTTAATATCACCTGTCGTCCCGTTGATCATCGCTTTCCTCGAGCGAGCGCCAGTATCGTCTTCATTCGTCCCTGTCATGAGCCAGAGTGGTCCAGTGAATCGTCTTCTTTCCAGGGGCACGAGGTTCAACATTCCTTCCGTTCAAAGCTCACGTGAAGAAGTCTGACCATCGAGTAGGAAGCCGTCCCAGAGTTTGCCTGATGTCCCGAGGGATCCAGTAAGTAACCGCCCTGCTCCAACGGTCATCACTATGTCCGGCCCACTTGATCTTAGATTTCTTGGAGTAATCAAGGGCATCTCTGGCCTTCGTTCAATGACGGAGCTCGGAGCTTCGGATTCCCTTCTGGTCTTGCTTGTATAGGTAAGTTCCGAGCATCGCCCTTTCCAAAGCGCGTTAAGTAACGCTGACAGTATATTCTTCCTGCTTTCGTAGAGTCCAAGTCTCCGAGGCGTACGTCATGGCAGGAAGGACAGCAGTGTCGAAAAGATGTGCACGGAGCCCAGCTATGTCCTCTTCACTACTCCCTCGACATTCATGAATGCTTCCCACGCGGCGCGCTTCCTTCCGCACATCTTCGAAGCTAGGTATTCCACCATCTTGACTTCCCGACCTAGGTACACATAGCCAGAGTATGCGTACATATTCGTTCCATTTAGCGTGAAGGGAGTATCAGGTACCGATCCGTTTTTCATGGTCATCGTCTTCGATAAGTTTAATCTCAAGCCGATCATTCCATAAGCATTGTCCAGCATTCTATCCGCCTGCTCTATGTTCGATGTTATGAACATAGTGTCGTCTGTAAAGCGGAGGTGATGGAGTTAACGACAGTCGACCTTCACTCCCAAGTTTTCCCATTCCAAATGACGCATGATATTCTCGAGAGCGGCACTGAAAAGTTTGGGCGAAATGGTATCGCCCTGCCGTACACCTTTTTTCACGTTGATAATGACTTCCTTATAGAATGGTGAAATCCTGGTCATGAAATTGAAGTGGAACTCACGAAGCACCCTTATATATTGAGTAGGAACACCCTGGTTGCCCAGAGCTTCAGTAACCGCTTCTGTCTCAACGGTATCAAAGGCTTTCTTCAAATCGATGAACGTAAGACATAACGGCATGCATTTTGTACTCTCGTGAGAATTTGATGAGTCTTGTAAGAGTGTGGATATGATCGATTGTACTGAACCCTCTCCGAAACCCTGCTTGCTCGCATAGCAGCCTTTCATCCAATATTCTGCCAATCCTGTTCAGGAAGACCCGAGTAAGAAGCTTGTAGATTACATACAGCAGGCAGATTGGGCGATAATTGTCAATATCGTCTGGATCTCCATTTTTATATAGCAACACAGTCTTGCTAGCATTCCACGACGTGGGCACTTTGCATCTCGACAGGCACCGCGTGAAGAGCCTATATGTTATATATTTTGCATGTTTATTACGGACGGACATGAGAAAACAGAACTAATAGCAACTTCCATGTTCGGTCTTCTTGAAACCTGTGCATATTGTATAATGTTTCTCACTGTTTTGCCGTACAGGTTTGTTAAGGCAGAAACCGCTTTATTGGTCGACGTTTCGACAGATCGTCGTCTTCAGGACCTGAAAGCAGTTCGGAGCTCCTGATCTGTGGCTTACCCGACCGAGCGCCCAAGCGCGCTAGCCCAGTTGCAACAGCTCCCAGAAACTTGAACACTAAAAGATCCCAACCGAGAAACCAACCTGCGGTTCCACCTACTTTGCCGTCCCACTCGATTTCGTGAACAAACAGGGACCAATGAGATACACCATTGACGGTCGTTGGATAAGTGCTGCTCGGTGTTCTCAAAGCCCACAAAAAGAAATGAACGGCAGGAATTCGCTTGTTATGGCAATGCACTCATTTCGGTTGTTCAGCTCCGAATTTCTCTCGGGGATGTGGAAGGCTTCCAAAATCTTTCTAGCACCGATCTCATTCTCGTAGGCTAAGATTTTGCATTTGATATCAAAATCATTGCCTTGATGTACTTCTACTCGATGCTCCCCAAGTGGCGTAACTGGGCTACCGCGCCTTTTACCTGCTAGATGTTCTTTGACACGTATGCCTAACATCCTTCCCGTCTCACCAATATATATTCATTCACAGGCTGAACACTGAATTTGGTACACTGTCCCTCGTTGTGTGCAATCCCCGTCCTTTCCAAATGGACAAATAACGCAGTTATTCGTAGAACATGCACGATCATAAAGTCTATTGCGGATAAGGTGACGTTTGATATTGTCCCTCGGTAGGTTTACCAGGACAACATCATTCGCCAAATCCGCTCGAGCTGTGCATTGTCGAACTTCTGCGCTAATTTTATCCGATATAAATGGAAGTCGGAGATGCATCACATTTTCACGGTTTCTCAGCGAGCACGCTTTTGAGCCTGACCATCTGTGTTGTGTCCCATAGCCATTCAAGGTTGCGATCTCGCATGCTAGCTTACGCGACTCCTCTCGTTCCACCTCGCCTGTACACACTCCTGTAGCCGTTCTGTACATGTTACGAACTACTGCACGTTTCACAGCTTCAGGGCGAGCAGACTTAGCATGGAGTAAGACGTTCTTTGAGCTGTTCTTCCGATACCACTTCACATGATACCTTCCACCTGAGATCTTTATCTGCGTGTTCAGATAAGGAAGCTAACCTTCGTGCGGAACTTCTCTCGTGAAGCTGATATGCTGTGACTGCCGGTTGAGGATGTCAAACAATACATCCATCTCTTGCTGCGTTGATGTCATTACGCAGCAGTCATCGATGTAGCGACAGTACATAATGGGCATGCGCGCTATAACTGGCCTTTCTATCCTGCTCATGAGGCAGATAGCTAAGACCGGTGCTAGCCGCTGACCCATAGCAAGTCCTCGCTTTCGGGAGAAGTACTGGAGCGGGCGTGACTTAAAACATCATTACCAAACATTCAGAAATTAAGGAAGTAGAGGAACAAGCGAATTATAAAGACAATCAACCTCAAACGACTACGAAGCTACATAGCTGAATAGCTTGGCAACTGTCTGAACTGCTTCAGCGGGGGTCAGTGACACCATCAACCATATATGAAAAAGAGCTGACCTCCGAATCCAGACTAATCCGCATGCACATTGTCTTATGAGGGACCAGTGTCAATTGCCATTGTTTGGATCAGCCAACTAACAAATCAATCGCTTTCTGAAGGACTTCACCGTCCCCACTTTCCGAAATAGCCTTATACATTTTTATATCATCTGCGTGCATTTTTGTGACAACATCTAACTCGCTCAACCTACTTAGGATATCGGCCGTGAAGATGTTGAAGAGCACCGGAGAGAGCACACCCCCTTGCGGCATTCCACTCACAAATTTTCTACTCTCAGAGAAAACGTGTCCTATTTTGACCGAGAAAGTTCTATAGAGAGGAACTTTGAGACCCACTCAATGAGAACAGGATGGAATCTTTGCACTTGTAACTTATGGACCATTTTCTTATGTGACACTTTAAAGCTGTGACAGAATGAAAATGTAAAGATGATGAAAAAGGGTGGGATGAAGTCCGAAGTTAAAAAGGAGGATCTCGGTCATTTCATGATCTGCTTAGAGAGCTGTTCTACATTGAACGACGGGACACTTGCCTTGTACGGAAAGGGACCTGCCACCATCCTCAAGAGAAGATTTTGCAAATTGCGCTGCTAACAAGTTGGCCTTATCGTACGGGCGGTACACCACAACATCACCAACTCTTAGACAGCCAATATCACTTTGCCATTATGTTTCTGATTTGACTACTTGTAAAAGTTACGACTGTATTTTGATTGCACAACTTTGTTCTGTTACAGTAATATTTTCTGAGCTTCTGAGAAATCAGTGTGAGTCTTTGCTGAGAAAGCAAAGACTCACACTGATTTGAATGAGACGGCATAAGCTTTCACGTAACGTAGTACGCGATGGTAGCATGAAGAACAACCAAAAGCAATTCATATTTCTCACTGACAGTACTCCTTATTTCAGAAGATCAACCCACATCCTGGCAGGATCTGCGCACAAATTGCCAAAACCACAGGCTGAGTATGATTTGCAATAAACTGGCCGAGCAAGCGATTCCTAACAGATGGGCTCGAAACCAATACTATTATGATCATTTTGCCCAACCGGAAGGAAATTATTCAAATTACGTACGAAACCTTTATTGGTGCTGAAAACCAAGCCAAGAATATTCCTTCCTATAGCCTAGAATAATATACAGCTGGATCAAGATCGTGTTGCGTCTGGGTACATGCGTTGAAATCTCCAGATATTAAGGAGTGGAGATCAAACGCAATCAAATCACTAAGTGCTTCCACAAGCTGCTCGGTGTGAGTCATAACACAAGCAGGGACCCTGTACACAACAATGATCCGAAGGCAAGATAAGTATTGAAAAATATCGGCACATAGCATTTCGTAGGCATCGTTCACCAATTCCTTGAACACTAGAGATACGGCAAGCCTAGCATGAACCAAAAAGACGACTCCTCCTGCCTTTCACTACGGTCACAACTGAGAATGTCATAATCGTTACAAAAAGAGCTCAAAACACATGCTATTTCATGATTGGGTTTGAGCCATGTTTCCGTAAACCAAAGGTGTCGATTTTGCTATTTAGAGCTGTTCTGATGTAGCCCGAGTTTTTCGAAATTGGCATGTCATCCGAGTAAAAAAGTGACGGGAAAACTACCTTCACTAACCTACACTGATCTTTAGAAAGCCTTCCCATTCTATACCCAGTAATCGGATTACATTCAATATCAAGAAAATCAATTATATGACAATCACTTTGAAAACCGTCACAAAAACGCTTGCTGGCACTAGTAGAGCTAGACTCAGCCAAACCACATAAAACAATCGAACGTAATCTCTCAACTTCAGAGAATAACATATTCCGATCAGAGCTAGCTGTGATAACAGGAACATCCCGAATACCTTGACTAGGACCAAAACTCAAATGAACAGTCTCAGTCCCTATATCAGCAGCCAGACTAATTTTATCACAAAGCTCTTTGATTTCCTTTCTTAGGTTATAACTCTCTGCGTGGAACAAGTTCAACTCAGTAGTGATGGATGACTGACCCTCTTCACTGGATCGGCAACCCGCCTGGATTTGTTTATTATATCTACTTCCCCAAGCAGGGCCATCCAGCTACCCGTCTCGCGTTCGCCAGCTCGCATGGATGAAAACACTGCAGCGTCCATGACCAAAACGCACAAGAGAAAAGACCTAGAAAGCGTCCAGAGATCTGATTGATGTAAGAAAAAACAATGATCGATAACAGCACCTGTAGTGGTGGCTTTTCTTCCAACTTCGTACCTTGTCACAAAAGTACTCGCTGTATCGACCAATCCGAAACTCAAAAGGAGATGCAACACACAACAAAAAAAGAACCCAGTAGCGATTAAGAAATGGCAATATTGCAAGAAAATCAATAACCAATAAGAGCACTTGCAGTGGTGGCCCCTCCTCCAATCTCGTACCTTGCCACAAAAGTACTCGCAGAGCACTCTAATAGCAAAACTCAATGCAGCACGAAACAAAAAGAAATCAGCAAACGAGTCAGATTCGGCAACAGCACAAGAAAAATCAATATTTAATAACATCACCTGTAGTGGTGGCGGCTTCTTGCAATTCCGTACCTTGCCACAAAGGTACTCGCTGTGTCGCTCCAGTCCCAACAATTAGCCCGAATAGCTATGCACGAAAAGCGGACAAGTACCAGTTTAATTGTTATAAACAGTTCCGAATACAGACAGACGACGGCAAGCTCCGCGAGAGGCGTCACAAATCGTCCCTCGTAAGAAGCGCAGAGCGCGCGAATGAGCCTAACCAGAGTTCTGACGATAAATGTTGAAAGACTCTTCAGATGTTCTGTGTCGCGAATGCGATCATGAATCTGGTCAGGTTTGAAGAAAAATTTAGGTGTATCTATGTTTCAGTAGTCTATATTGGTAATTCAGATAGATCAAGTGACACGACACCTTCCCGCGCAAAATCGATCGTCTTGTGTATATAAACTGCAATCCACGCTGGCAGGGAATAGTTTTGATCCGACACGATTTCTTCCTTTATTGGCGTCATTGCTCTTGTTTTTTTATGTTCAACTACGACTCAAGTTTTCTACTGTGGACAATTCAAGTATTGTATTGCGGGTTTAATTACCCAAGTTTGAGTTTGAGGTAAACGTTGAATTCGAGCTGTGTTGTGTAACCAGTATAACACCCGCGTGGCACACGGTTTGGTGAATGCGAGCAGTTTGGTGAAAACACAGGACAGCGAGATATGGTACATCGGTGGTTCAGTGGTAGAATGCTCGCCTGCCACGCGTGCGGCCCGGGTTCGATTCTCTGCCGAAAGAGTTCAACTCTTAAACGACTTTCTGCTCACTGTCAGTCTTACAAAGGAACGACTTCTCCGCTTTGGAACACGCTATGTTTTGACGGAACGACTCTACGAAAGTCGCTTCCAAGGAGACGAGGAACTGGCGAATCAAAGGGAGCAGTGGTTGCAGATTGAAGATCCCCAAGTGCAGGTCAAAGAGGTTATGACCATCATTGAAAGGTTGTCCAACGCTTGGAAACGACCATGAAGGAAATAAAGGAGTATATGGCAGCTGCAGATCGTGAGCTCAAGTCTAACAGTCAGCAACTGGAAGCGGCAGATATACTTACAAAGAGCATGCAGGCCGGGAGGATGAACTAAGGATGATACCGAACAAGCCAAGTGATGATAAGATAAAGATGCTTCACGAAAGGCTCACTGCCTTGGAGATGACCCAAAAACCTACAAAGCCTCGAAAAGGCGAATCGCTGGCATTTCAAGTTGATGTTAATAAGGGACGCACGGTCGTCGTACAGGAGAGTGTGCAAGTTGCGGAAAGGAAAGAAGATTCGAAAAAGTTACTTCCTGCGCAGGTCAAAGAAAGGGAGGGTCGAAAAGCTACCTCGAGCGAAGAAACAGACGAGCAATATTTCGGACGCTTGGTTCTTGAAACAAGTGAAACGAAGCAGAAAGCAAAGGATCGTATGCTGTTATCGAGCGTTGAAAANGCAGTCGAGAGACAAAAGCCATCGGAGGACCGTCAGAATCAGCTACAGAGGAAAAGAACTTCCAGCGACAGAGAACCAATCGCCATGGTCTGTTCGACTGAGCCTCCGATTAGTTACAAAAAAGGCAGAATTAGTGTGACAATTCATCCAAGTGTAGAAAGTCGGTCCAAAGAATTGTGCCGAGGAATCTATGCGATGGAGTCTGTCCTTTCCAAGTACCCCTACAGGAAAATAGTCCAGTGGTCTACGGGAATTCAGTCAAGAATCGAATGCATCTTCTGTGGATCCATGGGAACCCATGATTCGGACTCGTGTCCTACAGTCGTTGTATGCTGAGAGGCTGCAACTAGCCATGGCCGCCGGCAGATGCCTACGGTGTTTGAAACTTCACAAGGGTGCATGCACGTCAAAAGAAGACGGCTGTCGGTACTGCCGGCAACTTCACGAGACTCCGTTCGAAGACATCATACCGCTGTATCGCCACCATCGTGCCCTTTGTCCGGTGCCCGACGCTAAAAGAGATCTACGTGAAAGAATGTCGGTAAAACGAAGAAAACTAGTGCAAATGGAATGTGACCGGGCCTCTTCGTCAAGGGCCGGAATGTCGCGAACGCGACCATGAATCTGGTCAGGTTTGAAGAACTTTTTCTAGTATTAAATCTACGTGTATCTATGTTTCAGTAGTCTATATTGGTGGTTCAGATACATCAAGTGACACGACGCCTTCCCGCGCAAAATCGATCGTCTTGTGTATATAAACTGCAATCCACGCTGGCAGGGAATCAGTTTTGATCCGACACGATTTCTTCCTTAATTGGCGTCATTATTCTTGTTTTTTATGTTCAAGTACGATTCAAGTTTTCTATTGTGGACAATTCAAGTGTTGTATTGCGGGTTTAGTTACTCAAGTTTTAGTTTGAGGTAAACGTTGAATTCGAGCTGTGTTGTGTAACCAGTATAACACTCGCGTGGCACGCGGTTTGGTGAGGCGAGCAGTTTGGTGAAAACACAGGACAGGAGATATTCTGGTTTGATCGTATCGGGGCCGGGCGCTGTACATTTATTCATCGAAGCAATAGAATGCCGGATTTTGGAGGGGAGATTCGAAGGGATGACATATCCGTCTTGCCTAAGATGGAAGGTAGACAGGTAGATGTGGCTGTCGAAGAGCTGTCGCCGAGTAGAAGTCGCATGACCTTTTCCATTGCCCTTCGAGGTGCAGTCACTGTTCCGTCAGGACGATGAAGGAAAGTCATCTTGGTCTTGTAATTGGGGAAGCTTCGTCGGGCTTTGCGTTTGCTCTGTCCGACCTCTGCGGCTTCGTCCATATCTGCTGCACTTCACTCTTTCAGACTTACCTTTATCGCTTCTCTGCATAGCTTCGCAAGTTCAGACGTTTGCTGATGATTGCATGTACATGTTATGCGCCAGCGTGGACTCGCGCGAGTCCACGCTGGCGTATCACATGTACATGCAATCATCAGCAAACGTCTGAACTCGCGCGAGTCCGCGCGAAGAGAGTCGTCTCTTGGCTACTTGTAGCTTACGCTTACCTAGCACCACCGTGAAGATGTTCGACGAGTCGGTTGTAATCTTCATCGATGTGGTCGATGACGGAATCTTCCCATTCACTCGCAGGTGGTTCCAATTGATGGAGGTCTTGGAACTTCGTTTCCTAAACTTCATCTCTCTCTCCAGCCTTATGCCCTTCTCATGTATCCCATTCCGTGAGTCCCAATGTGGTAGTCTTCAGCCGTTCTTCTGGGGCCAATCTTGGCGTTGAAATCACCGACGTCGAAGAAAGTGCGGTCTCCTCTGTAGAGCTCTCCAGATCCATATGAAACTCCTCTTCTTCGCAGCTCGATGTTTGTGCGTAGGCAACGAAGGTGGTTAGAACTGGGATTGTCATGCTTTCGTACGAATCATGTTCATAGTCAAGTGTGTATTGACGAGGACATCTTCCCCAGCGACGCCCCTGCTGTCGCATATTTCAGGAAACAGCTTTTCTCCAGTCTCAAATACAGTAGCGGCGATGCCCTCTCGCCTCGGTCAGTCCGATGAAGTCGTACATGATCTTCCTAGCTATACAAACTTAAACATTAGCAGGCCTTCTATACAAACTTCCGATGCAAGCGTCCGTGCGGTGGAAGTGCAGATCGCCATCTTAGTCCTTTTCCTTTTGGGCAGCCCGTTTTATCCCTGAGATTTTAGCAGCTTCTCCCGAGCGATCCTACCAGACCCTACCGTATCAGAGGAATTAGGCCCATTTCTATTACTGTTTTTGGCGGGTGCTCGCTAACCGGCTGGGATTCTTCAGTGAGAGAGAACCCTCTGTGAAAGGGTATCAGTAGAATATGCGTTGGGTAAAAATAATAAAGTCTTCTGGCATTAATCAGTTCCAACTAAAGGATGCGTCCCCCAAATTCGAAGTCAGCATCGTAGTAGAATAATGAATGCATGTAGATTTTTTTTCGAACTCGAACTCGCGATGAGAAAGAACTCGCGATATGTGATAAGAAACAGGCTAACCTAGTTATAAAAAAAGGCAGCGAAAAAGACAAAAGACGAAAACTCTAATCCTCATTTTTTTACGGAAGATTTTGGAGGATATTGCAGTCTAAAAAGGTGGATGAAGACCGTTGACGAAATCGTCGGAGAGAAAGAGTTCTGTGTCTCGGAAATAAAACTGGGAGGGGCAAGGAAAGCGAGTTGCTAAACTTAAAGAATTGAAATGATGTAGAGCCAATAAAGAAAACGAAGATGAATATGGGAAAAAAATGAAGAATATAGAAAACTTGTATTTGGTTATAAAAAAGTGGTAGGTTGAGTCATGAGTCCTCGGACAACTTGGCAATGATAATACTTATCTTACAATTTTTAAACGACAGTAGCGAATCATTTGAAATATGCCTCATTCGCATCGATGGTCTTCTGTCAATGCTTGGGCAGATCCTAGATGCCCTTGCTTTAGAACGCTGGGAGTTGGCCTTTGGAGAACTGTTCCAGTGCCATTTTGATGTCGTTGCGGATTTGAAACTCCTGACCATCCAGATGACGTTGAAGATGGGGAAAAAAGTGGTAGTCCGTGGGATCCAAGTCTGAGGAGCACGGTTGGTGTGGTAAACTTGTCCTGCCGAAATTCGGCACTTCAGTTTTGGTCGTTCTTGCAATGTGAGGGCGAGCGTTGTCGTGCTGGAAGTAAACTTTGTGCTGCTGTGGACGTGTAGCTTCGGGATTCGCCTTCAAATTCCTCAGTTGCGAAATGTTGACGTGTGCGGTCACTGTGCATTCTTCGTCTAGCATCTCCCATTATTCGACACCGTGAACGCTCCGTCAGAATCAAACCATAACCTCTTTGGCTTGTACGTTGGTTTTGGGGGAGTCTTCTGCAACCGCACCTTTGTCAATCCATTGAGCACGCCGGTGAACGTTAGAGTAGAGGTTTGACTTCGCATCCCTGGTGACCAGGAACTCGAGCCACGTGTGGTGCCTTTGAGCGTGAGGAGAGAATGTGCCGCGTCGTCGCGGCGGTCTATGTCATACTGCTCCAAAGCATGAGGCATTCATGGACCGAGCTTTCGCACCTTGTCGATTGACTTCAATCCACGAAGAACTGTGAACTAAATCCTCAAGAGTGACTGCCAGTTCACGAGTAGTTTGATAGGGATCGGCTCCCACCTGGCTCCGCAGCACGTCCAAATCCAACTCCGTTGGCATCCCGGACGGTCTTCACCTTCGATGAAATAGTCGCCCGATGCGAACTCCTAGTGTCACTTGTAAATTGTACACGTCCTGATTGTGAACGCACTTTATACCTCTATCGATTGCCGCGGGTTCATGGTTAGATAAAAAAAGAAATATGATGGTGTTGCGGATGTGGAGTTGCGACTTCTTGAAATCATGAGGCACAGTTGAGGGAAAGGAAAAAGTTGGGTGCATTTTCTAGTGTGCGTTTGGAAGAGCTTTTTATGCTCTATCTAACAGTGTTACGCGCGTTTCTTTTTTCATTTTCGTCTCCTCTTTCCCGAGTTGTGATCGCTAGAATTCATCACTATCACATTGTCCGAGGACTTATGACTCAAGCTAATATAAGGTTCTAAAACGAAGGACAATGCGAAAACCGGAGAAACAGTAAAGTCAAAGGGAGACAGAGATTCAGAACATGAGGTGCTATGGAGTGCCGTCCGAAAAATGGTTAACTTGGTAATGCTTCATTTAAATCCATATCAAAGCTACGAAAGGCAGTGCACTACAATACTGCTACTAATTCGTGATTACAATTGACAGTTTCGCCAGGTTAATCCGTTTCCGTTCGGAGTCCAGAAACGCGAAAAAAGTCCGCTTTAACTAGCTTTTTTGCATTGATCACCACATCCACAAAAAATAAAAATTGGATCTCGCAGCATCACTAAATCGCCAAATTTTCAGACATCTACATCACCAACTTGTTCACAGCGATCTATTCTGAATGAGAGACCAATGTATAAACCCTTACGGGGAATCCCGTCACATAATGAATTTTTGATCTTCTTATAATTTGCAGCTTCATTTTCGCGAAGATTGAAGAGTGAGTCTCTAAGTACCTGAGGTGTTACCTGCGGTTATAGCATCATCACAAACCCTCCACTTCGATTCGGAATATCGTTTTCAGTTTTGAAAGGCATATTTAATGCTTCAAGGAAAGCGACATAATCTCATTACTCTCTTCAGAGACTAGTGATTTCAACTCGCAATTTTCCAAGAATTCGCTAGTTCTTTTCGGAGTAGTTTTGCGTTCATCAAAGGCTCTAGTCATGTGATTCAAGAAATACATGCTAGACGAGGCGCAATTCAATATGTGGTCAAACAAATTTTTATTTCAACATCATAATTCATATCATATTAGTTTTCGATTGATACACCTTTCACTATTGCTTCTAGTGTTTATCAGCTGTGATCAGCAGTGCTGAATATTTTATTGTGCCAGCACAATAAACATTTCAATATTATCATTCGGACATTCTCACAAACAAGGCAAATATTGAAAACGGCAAATAATGTGTGCAGTATCTAATCCGGAAGCCTTCATCCATGTCATCTATGGCAGTAGTCTTATCCGGCCGTGACTTCGGGGCTTTGAATTCATTCCGCCATTTGATGTTCGCTAGCCATATGCTGTTTCTTCCGAAGAAGGCGATATTTATGTTTCTTAATCTAATGGTGGAATATCAGTTGGGTACGTACTAATTTTGTTTGCATTTTCAAATATAATTTATCTAAGAATGCAGTGCCTACTTCTGGTTTAGCAGTCTGCTGTTCAGGATGCTCTATAGAGCGGTGTCTCTAGTAGAGTGCTTCTTTCATGAGCTCTCCAGACTAGAATTATTGTCTCTTCAACGTTCCTTTAAATTATGATAGAAACACTGATTTCACCGCCTTCTAGGTGGAATACGTCGTTCATTCTACAACATTACACGAGCCTACCGCGAATACGAGGGGGAAATAAAAAATGATCTCTATCAGCAATTTCATTGTACTATTGACGACAAACCTAGAACATATTTATATTTTGTCATTGGAGATTTCATTAAAAAATTAAGCTGTGATCGAATTGGACGTGCGAGAACAACTGGACCGTCCGCTTGTTCTGACAATGAGTAACAAAGTAACAGCAGCAAACGACTAGCTTCATTCTGCTAGCAAAATGCGTTTATCGACTTGGATTACAATTTCTGGACCATAATAATTTTGTTAACATATTTATGGCGCACCTTTACTTGCGCCCGGCTGTTTTGCTATTTCTGACATTTTCATCACTTCCCCTCTGTATTTTCTTTATCGTCACCGTGTTCTGCACTTTGCTTCTCGAAACGATCAACTGCAATCTTTACGGGACTTCTTGCGCTACAATCACGAGCAACCGCTTGACGGCTAGGCAGCAGCAAAACCTCCACAGCGGGGCGTAGCATCGTGAAGCTGTCTTTCATTCACATCGCGACACGGCCGCCGACCAAGAATGACGAATAAGCAAGTGAAAAACAGGCGCAAAATAACACAACACCACACAAAATACTACTTTACAAAACCAACAAACCTGGTACGCTCAACAACACAAATAGCAATGCGATCACCCATCTGCAGATCCAGCTTCACACAACATACGACTAGCCATTCAGAAAATCCATGTAGTCGAACCAGGAGATAGTGTGCGATATGCGGAAGCGGCTACACAGAATCGAGAGCGGATGGCGGTGCAGGAAATACCACGCAGAAAAGCGAACAGAGGTGCATGAACAGTTAAACACGGGCGCAGATTAGACGAGTTGGCTGGTGATGTAATGACAGTGAATATCAGACGGTAACGGACGAAGCTGAGTGACGACCGGGCGTTAATGACGTAAGGAGGAAGAGGCACATCTGAAAACGAAGACGGCGGGCTGTCCATGATACCACCTGCGCCACGAGTGCAAGATGACTAATTCTTCGCTTCTTGGTCGGAGTACCAGCACAGTTAACAGTATTATGAATCCCGCGACAGTTATGCAGATGAAGGTATATACGTTAGCATCGTGCTCCAAGCGCAGACAGCGACTACACAGGTGCTGTTCTGAAAGCCGCATAGCTCGAGCTCGTATTTCTAATTGTTTCTATCATCCAGTGATAATTTTCGGGCATCATCTTTATCCATTTTATGGTTGCGGCTGCTTTATCACTTAGGCTTTCCTTCGGTAGCACCATTTTTCATAGTATTTTTTTCGATTGCTGTAAACAAAGGTGTCGGACATAGCACAATATTCTTAGAAATTTTCTGCGTTCCCTAATAAACGTGGGAGCGCTATCTGTGGAGGATTTTGAGTAGCAAGTCATGCTAGCATTCTTTACATTCGAATTCCCGCTATCACTTACTCTGATCTGCGCGCTTTCTACAGCTAAAACGTTTTGTTTTTGCTGCGACTGATGCGAGCTTTCTTCGAGATTTTGCTCCATGTTGTTTTAAGGGTCTGGCATAGATGCTGGGACTGATAATTTTTGCTAACACAATTTCCATCATTTCTTATCTAGAGCAATTTGTGCTCTTTTTCCCGAAGTCGACTTTAGACGCTGTGAGCAAATCTGCAGGTTCTAAGAAGCGGCGTCGTGCTGTATTTCGGCTTCAAGAGCCTGGAATCCCTCTTTATTTCCTTTTCCTCGTTTTTTTGTGCCAGCGCACTCCCTTGTATTTGGTCTAGTATCGTCCGAATTTCATTTCGCAAAGTATCGATCAAGGGAATGGCGTTTCGATCGCAGCAATTGTTTATGAACAAAAGGACGCATTTCCTCCCGCATTTTGGAAATATTGCGGGTCGTTTGCGAGAGGGCGGATTGTATACACTTGAGCCTTCAAACTCATAGTCACGCGCTTGAGACTCGACCTATGAAAATAGGCATTTTCTGGAGATTGCTTTAGCTTCAGTTTTCGCGAGAAGGTTATTAGATGTTCGGTAATGTGGAGGGTTATACTTAGCCACTCGCCTGGTTCTCTGTTTAGGCTATGAAGTAGGAAATAGCAAACGGGCTCCAATGCAGCAGAACAGAAAATAGCAAACAGGCTCCGATGCAGCAGAACAATGTGCTACATCTTATTTCTCGAAACGTGGTTTAGTGAGATCAGTGCAATCTTTATCGGAACTTACTGCGCTGCAATCACGAGCAACCGCTTGCCGGCTAGGCAGCAGCAGAAAGCCTCCACAGCTAGGCGTGGCAGGCGGTCTTTCGATCGCATTGCGACACTTCCTTAGAATTTGGCTAATGTGCCAGCGAGTCTCTTAATCCATCAATCTAGGATAATTGATACACAGCTCCCTGAAAACCTTGTCTTGAAACTTGAAAAAGTATAGCGATGATAACTCTTCTTAATGTCATCCTTATCTGCTCTCTTCGATGGAGGTTTGTATGAGACTTATCGATTTGATCCCTTGTTGTCTGTGATATACACCTTCCAATCATCGATTCTCTTCTTCACTCATTTCCCTTCCCAACCGCTAACTTCTAACCTTTTACTTTCACTAATTACTTTTCTAAGCACCCACCTGTAACACTTGTCGTAACGTTTTCATTCGTCCCATTCGCAAGCCAGAGTAGTCCAGTAGATCATTCTCGCTCAAAGGAGATGAAGCGAAGCCATTGTTGGTCTAGCGCTTCTATGGAAAGTCCGATCATCTAGCTGCGGATTTCTCAGTGTTAGTTTGACGTCCCAAAGATTCATTCAATAGCCAACCTGGTCCAGCGGTCATCACAGTAATGCAAAACGTGTCCGACCCACCTGATCTTGGTTTTCTCAACGT